GAGAGAGAGAGGGAGAGACCATAACGTTGATGTATAACGCGAGAAGCTTTTTTTGAATAAGAAAAGAAAATATAAGGTATGCGTGCGTAGTGTATGCGTGTGTGTGTGTGAAGAGAGAGAGAGAGAGAGAGGGAGAGAGGAAAATGCAAAGAACATACGAAAAAAGAGTCCTCGGTAAATCGGTACCTTTTAAGAGCTACTTGTCCGCGCCTACCGTGTGAATATTGAACTTCTCCTCGTGATTTGATATAAAGCTATTATTGTACTTTTATGATGAACGCGATTATAAATATATACATATATACATATACATATACATATATATATATATCTATATATATACATACACATACACACACACACACACACTCAGGCGTTTAAAATATATTTCTGAGTTCGTGCCCTCCCCCCCCTCCAGTAAAATACCATTAAACAAGGATTCCTATTATTATTTCTGTATTTGAGAGTACACACTGGCTCGAATACAAGTTTTATTTCAACAAGTTCAATTGATTGATCGACACACAAAATTTATTTGCAATACATTTGTATCTTTTATTAATCATCATCAATTGCATCATCACAGTTATGAAACATCATGTTTAGATGGTAAATATTTAAATGGATCTTTATATCATCATTTCCACTGTCTGTTTCCACTATACCTCTATAAATTTTAATAAGGAACCCACCAACTATTATTTGTCAAATAAGAAAAACTTAATGATATTAAGTTTTATACTTTTATATAGCCAATAATCAAACTTTTTGCAAGCTTGTGCAAGTTTTCATCAATCGTTCTACTTTGAAATAGTGAATAATAGTGAAAAAATTATACAAGAAGCGTATACGCCACGGCTGATTACTTTTCTACTCGAATGGAAAATACTTTAAGGAACAGGAACAATACATTCCCATGTATTTTAAATTTTTCTTTAACAAGTTTTTAATGGATTTTGATAGATAGTGGTAACAAATTTTACTATAAATTAAACAATATTAGGAAAAGATTTTTCATTATGATTTTCTATCGCATAATCCAGAAAATTTAAATCCAGATTCTGTTCTCATTGCTATCAAATATTACTAATCTTAGGATAAGTATTCACTTGTTTTTTTTTTTTTTTTTTTCTTTTGCACTTATCCCAAAGCATTGATACTGCTCTATTTTTCTTCGGTTAAATGTCCACTTGATTTCTCCATAAAAGTCGACTACCACTGTTGTTACCACATCTAACTTCTGATGGCCGTTTAAGGTAAGTGCATGTAGGTTGTCCAGTAATTACTATCAAGTGCACGAATAACAGGCAAACCTGACCGTGAGAGTAAAAATACATTCACTCAATGTAATGGAAAGCAAGCCATTACATTTAATGAAACGTTAAATAATCATTGAAATGGAATAGTGCATGGTATACAGATACCAATGTTTGCCTTTTCTATTGGCATGTTTCAATTGGTTTTTCCTTATTGGCTATTTTAAATTGCAAATTTTTTTTCTTTCAATCTTTTTAATTAACGTTTGTTTATTCTTTTTAATACCCTTGTTTATTAATCATTTTACAGTAAACGTGGAAAATTGAAAAAGAAATTAAACCAAATGAAAAATTATATATTCCTTCGGGATTATGATTTATTATATTTATTTATCTTTCAATGCTAACTCGTTTCATATATTTATCCAAGAAACGTTATTCACACGTACGTTTCATTGCAATTTTACTGTGCGACATGTTGATACGTTTTTTTTTTCCTTCTTTTTTTAAAGAGTTATTTTATTATAAATTTAAATAAAGTTTAAATAATGCATCACGTATGATAAAACGATTATTCGAACGTTAATTTCGATTCACGAGCATAAATTTGTGATAAATAAATTTCTAAAAAAAAAAAAAAAAAAAATAAGAAAGCTCCGCTTCTCAACCATTTTACGCCATCGAAATTGTAAGAATCGTGATTTATCGAATCTCGGCGAGGTCGAGACACGATGCTTCTTCGCGTTTGTATGAAGGAGCTGTTGAAACGGATGAAAAATCACAGATCGCAAGATCCGTGATTTATCGAGCTGTGCATCGTCATCATTCATTCGTCCGCTGGATTTCCACGCCGTTTTCGTCATTGCTTCAAAATTTTCGCGTGCATTAATCATAAAAAGCATGACAAAGCGTCGAATTCGATACTTAAAATTGTATGTTACAGCGCGCAAATGGACCAATCGTACGTTAATTGTGACACGGAATCAATTTTACTTCGCACGTATTTTTTTCAATGGCTAACACCAGGGCGGTCGATATATTTATATATAAATATTCCATAAAAATTCTCGATGATAAATCGCTCGTGATGCGACTTGTGGCGTGCTCTTTCTCTAAAAAAAAAAAGCTGCATCGTTAAAAAGAAATCGAAAGGAATAGATAAAAAGGGAGGCGAACGTTAGAATTGGCCCATAAAAAGTAATTGCGAAGATAGAAAACGGCGATTCGCATCGAGGGAAATCGTGATATACGCTCCGTCGATATGCCGATCGAGATAACTGGATGCACGATAAATTCGGCACCGATAATTTGCGCGTCCCCACTTTTATCAGTTTCGATGTCGTAGCGTAAGCGGATATCGTAAATTCGTGAAGGTAAATCCCGTATGTGCTACGACTTTATCGTGCTATGGCTTTAATTATACTGACAACGATAGTTTCGCGTGGATCTACCATTTCTTAACGACTAGACTGATTGTACAAAAAAAAAAAAAAGAAAAAAGATAAACTTAGATTCTGTTTTAAGAGATATAAAATTTTTTATTATGTATTACGACGTATATATATAAACATTGGATTGAATAGATTCTGTTAATTAAAATTTTAAATCAAGAAATTGGAAGATAATAAAATTAATCGTATAAATGCATAAAATTTGCAGATATCATTCAAAAGTCATCCTTACCTAATTAATAATCTATTATTACAAAATATTAAACGAAGTTAGATCGTGACAATGTAGTTTTGAAAGAAAAAAACAATGATGAAAGTGTATTCAATAGGTATTCTCGTCTATCGGTATGGTTATCCTCCAAGAATAAGTATAGATAAGAAAAGCAAATAATGAAAGCATATTGCTAGAATAAAACTATTGAAATCTAGTGCCATTTTCAATGTAATGCAAATGAAATATATAAAAAAAGGACGATAAATAATGGAATAAGAAAATAAAGATGGCATAAGAATTGATCATCAACACCATCCTTTAAAATAACAAACTATCTTTAAAGATAGGATAAAGTAGACTAAGAATTAAGTAGCAGCACCATCTCTTGAATATCTTTAAATACTTAAAAGAATGACATTTCAAAAAGATACTTTTGATGATGCAGGTGATAAATTTATTATCACAGAAATGTAAAATATTGATAATTATAAAATTAAAGAATCAAGCAAAATTAAATGTTTTTCACAAAGAACTATATTTATATTATTGATTATCATCA